GAAAAATCTATGTCTAATTTTTCTTGCTTGGTATTTTGAGTGCTTTTATCTCAGCAAACATTTTTTTTTTGAGGAACTGGGGATTGAATTCAAGCCCTTGTACTTGCCAGGAAAGCGCTTATTCTACTGAACTATCTCCCCGGCCCTGGTAATTTGAATACATTGTATATTTTATACATATTTTCTGAGACACTATGTACTTGGGATAAATTCCCAAAATATTTTGAAAATGTTTGGAATCATCGAATATTTTGAGCTAAGAACCAAGTGAGACACCATAAGAAGCAGCGCAGTCCTCATGGCTTGCACCTTGACAGAGCTTCAGGGGCTGGTCTGAGGACCTGGAGAGGCATCAGGAGCGTCCTGAGAGATGCTGCCGTCTGCACGGTGCTCCTGGCACTCGCTCTTCCTCTCAGGCTGGAAGGTGACTAAGAGGGGCACACTCCAGGGCACAATGGTGAGTAAGGCTGAATCCTGCTGGCCTCTTCTGAGGACATTATTTTTCCTCTTTAAATAGAAATTAGGACAACACAGCTTCAAAAATTGTAATCTGTAAGTTTTTGGACCCTCTCTTTATTGTGGATGAAAGGATGCAGGCTACAGTTGATCCAGTCCAACCTTGATTGTAATGAAGAACAGAAATGAGAGTGTAGCAAAGAGACAGATGAAAATGTCAGGCTTTCGCAGCAAGCAGTGATGGTGGTGGTGGTGACGCAGCAGAGGAGCAGAAATGAGAAGGAGCAGAAGCCTTTACTAACTCTGAAGACAGAGAGGTTCAAAGGCAGGGAGATGGGAAGATTCTCTGACCCGAGACAGGGAGGACAAGACTTTATACACCTGTACTAGGGGCAGAGTTGGAAGAGCAGGTTCAGAACGCACAAGGAGCTGGTGGAGGCTCACCTGTGTGGGTGGGAAAGGTAAAAGGGAGTTGTATCCAGGGCTGGAGTGGGAAAGAAGGAGGAAGTGGTCACTGGGAAGATTAGCTGTTGTTTTGGGGATTCAGCTGTGTTGGATCAGGACCATGGAAATTCAGCAGGTTGTACTAGGGCCGTAAGTTATCAGGAACAATAACAGCTATTGGGATTTACCTGGAAATGAGCAAGTAATGCTGGCATGTGTGGTAAATTTCTGTCATGAAATACTCAGCTCACGTGGATTCAGTCGTAGTGGGAACCATTTTTTTCTTTCCCTGGAGAGCTCAATCTGTATCCTAGTGGTTAGAATATATATTATTCTGTGTCCCAGAACTCAGTCTCAAACCCTCACTTGCCATGCTGTCTAGGCAGACCTTCGTCTAGCCAAGCTGTCTAGGCAGACCTTCGTCTAGCCAAGCTGTCTAGGCAGACCTTCGTCTAGCCATGCTGTCTAGGCAGGCTTTCCTCCTGTCTACGCTTAGGGTGCCTCACAGAAGCGAGTAGTGTTAGGCACGTGGCCCTCCTGCTGTCCAGAACTCACGGCCTGCTGAGGGCTGGGATGTGGCTCCCCTCCTCTGATGCCTGGAATGTATCACTTTCTACGTTTCAACTCTGAGGGGTCAACATCTGCTCTCCACCTTGTCTAGGCCTGGTGACAATGAGAACTCTACATATGCACAGTGCAAAACTTGATTCGGTTTCTGTATTTGTAGAAATATTAGCCTACCAAGCTAATATAGCCACATTTCTTTTCAAAATAAGTCCATTTCTACGTCATTTACATAGCTCTTTTCAATCACTTTTAAATTTATATCTAAATAACACTCACACAAATGTACAGTGTAAACAACACTGAATCTTTGAGTGTTGTAATGTACTTTATTTTTGCCCTAATAATTTCAATTTTAATTTATATTTAGATTTTCTGTTCAGGTTTATTTTCCTCCAGATTTTTTTAATTTTAATTTTTTCCATAATTTTATAAACTTGAAGCCTTTATATTGAAGTGGATGCCACTTGAACATATACTCATAAGTGAAATAAACCAGACACACATGTGTAAATATCTTATAGGTTCCCTAGTATAAGGACTCAAAAGAAGAAATACAAATAGAAAAGTATAATACAAGTAAAAGGAAAGCAGGATCTCAAGGACTAACTAATCAAGAGAGGGAAAGGAGAAGATCTAGGAAACATGACAATGTCAAGCCATACAGTTATATGTAGAAGATGGGCAAGTCAATGATCCTGAGAATCTCCAGAAGATTTTTGAATCTAGCAGTTAATTGGAAAGATTCTCACCCTGACTAATTATATATACTGATACCTGTGAAGTAAGCAACTGCACTGTGATGGTAATCTGTAATAGCAGTTTCATGCTAGGAGTGCCTGTCATTCTGGCCTTCTGAATACGGGCTGCTTGTCATGACATGCCAGTTTCTGCTGTGCTGTCTTTTGGGTAGATGATTGTTCAAAAAGAAGAGGGTGGTGAATGAAGGCAAGAGAGAGGAAAAGGAATATTGTGGGACTGTCCTGCTTCAAGGTTGTATATAGTTAGATTTTTGGACTTACGTGTAAACATAAGAAGTATATAATTCTTTGTCCTTATTTTTAAAAATATATTTTAATTTTTAAATGTTTTGCTATGGGGACTTAAAGTTCAACATATCAATACTTGATGAAAAATACCTGTTCCATGTTATGCCTAAGACGTTTGATATTCAGAGAGATAGTGAGCTTAAGCTTAACACCCTAGCTTGTATGGTAATAACAATAAGCTTGCCTTCTGGAGGGTTAACACCCTAAGTTTGCAGGCCAAAATTAGAGAAAAGGGAGGGCTGCAAGGAAAGCCAACATTTTGGCCCTAGCCTTCCAAGGTCAATTAAGACTCAGGTCATATGAGAACTTGTACTATAATGTCATGTAACTCAGTAGTGTCCCAAATTTTCTGATTAAGGAGATTATGGGGACAAAGAGGAAAGTGATCGATGATGTAGAGTGTGCCTAAGGAGAGTCACATGGAGAGAAAACATTCTCTCATGCTTTCACAGAGAGCACATTGGCCAAGCAATGCCGTGACTCATCCACATGGCTGACACTGACACAGGATCTACAATCTGAGGTACAGGATCTCAGGATAAATCCTGAGGAGATTTCACTGACCTTATCAGACCCAAAATCTACAACTCTTGTTGCATAGGTCTTCCTCCAGATTTTTGGATAAACAAGCAGATTGACTTTTACTTTCCAGGGTTAAATTACAAAAAATTTTTACATTTATTTTCATTTTTGTTTTTCTATAAAGAACTTACATTTTTTATTAGTCGTTTCATAAAATTCGATACTGATATTTCTTTTTATATACTTTCAATGAGTGTATAATCATGAATTAGAACTTTTACATCTTAAGAACTCAAACATTTTCTCTTGGGAAATTTTATTTTTGTGTTTAATAATTTTATTTATCAGTCTACTCTTTGATAAACAACAATTACATGTCCTTATGAGCTTCAGTGTGATTCTTTATGTTTTAAAAAAGAGAATGTATAAATGAGGCAAGTTGACAACTGTGTCATTCATTATGCTTACCATGTTTTTGAATGTGAAATGCTTAAAATGTACTTTTATTCAGTAATTGAGTAATACACAATGCATGACCAGTCTGCACAATTGAGCACTGTTATGTCTTCAGTCAAGATGTCCCCAACCCGCCTGGATGCACAGTAGGGTTTTTCCAAGGTGGCTTGATCTAAGGGTGTGGTGAAGGGATTACATTGTGTGATGCTAAGATTAAGGGTCTTGATTACTAAACTGGTCCATTGATTGCTTTATCATGGTTCTGGGTGTGGGTGGCACAATCCCAAGCTGGCAGGCCTGGAAAGGGTAGAAGAGAGGCTTGTGCCTCACTCCTCAGTGTCTTCTGCCTGCCGTGGACAGCTTCTCCTCTGCCAGACCCCTCTGCCATGCCACCCTGCTGTGGAGCTGGCCAACTATGGACTGAAACCTCTGCAAACTGTGATCTGAAATAAAACTTTTTTCCTTAAACTTTCAATGTTCACTATTTTGTCTCAGCAATGAAAAGAATAACTAAGACACTCACTAAAGCGTGTTCTTTTTGTTTAATTGAAAAATGGTGTACTGCTCAGCATTTTCAGATTCCCCATCTGATTTTATCTGCTACAATCAAGTAACATTAATTTTAGTCTGTAGGTGTATGAATTCAACTTTGTGAAGGTCCACAAATAAGTGAATCGCTGCATGCTTGATTGCACTTTGCAAAGCAGGGTGTTCTCCAAGAGCGACTGCCGAGAGGTGCATGAAGAAACCTCCTCTGCTTTAGGACAGAATACTATTTTACCTGGCCTAACTGGCATATTTCTTTTATCATAATTCTTCATATTAAATGATTTCCATAAAGTATTAGTGGGCATTAATTGAACTCACTCAAAGTTAGGAAAATGTACGCATCAGCTCAGCAATCTATACAAGCATTGCAGGGAGATACAGGCTTGAGTTCTCCTCCTCCCCTCCCACCCACGGCCCTCAAGAGCTCCAGAGAGCGGAAACTCCTTCGGCAAACAGGTACTTCAACTTAGTCTGGCTGTGGCTCTTATGCTAATCATATTTCCTGCTGGACTTTTTGGTCAAATAGGGAACAACAAATGCCAACATACTGAAGGACTGTATCTTCCTAACCAGCTTCTAAAAAGCCTTCAGCCATTTTTCTATCAGTTGGAGAAGTTAATTCAGGAAGCCTGCTACTGCAGCATACTGCTTTCAGGATTTGACCCTCATGGCATTGTGCTTCCCATTCATCTTGCACAGCATACTCAGTGGTTGCAAACTTGCTTAGTT